TTCTCATGTTTAAAATAAATTTAGAATTATATATTGATCTGTTATATTGCATACCAAAGAATTAACACAAAATGGCCAATACTAAAACATGTTCTAAAAAAAAACATACTTTGAACATTCAAAGACTCAAAGAAACTAAACACCACTATGAGATAATGAAATTTGACTAATGTCATGATAGAAATGTCCAATTCCAACAGAAAAAAATAAACTTGATAGAGTCAAAGGAATATAATAATTTCAGGCAAGGACCAAGGTTCTGAGAGAGAGAAATAACCTTTGCAGAGACAGGAAATCTGAATGGAAAAACATATAATACATCCCTTTGTTCATTTGTAAATTTAATGTAAGACTAACAAACAAAATATGAGATACATTGAGCACATATCAAATGGGTAATATCTAAAAGTTTGATGGAATAGTCTCTCAACAGTCCTTTGTGAGTATCGGCATTTGAACAAATTCCTTGTACAAATTTTTTAAAATCACAACTATAGTTTAAGCGTGGATGCTGGAGGGTTAAAATCACCAGTCTAAGACACCCTGAAAATTAGAGTTTTTTGAACTCATCAGAGAACTAAGACTTTAGGTGAGCAAGCAAATAGAAGGATAATACATGGGAGGAGAATGAGGCATTGAATTTAAAATGATGTTTATTAACTTTTAAATGTCAAAAGACTATGTGAGCGAAAGAGAATTGGCGGGGCTCATGGGAATGTGTGAATAGTCTTGTACAGAATCTCCTCTCTCTCGCTCACTTTGGAGAAAGGAAAAATATTGCAGAAGCAAAAACTAGAAAGTTAGAAAATATAAATTTTGTTTCTCCAAAGAAGGGATAATACACTGATTATATACTTATTTAAACGAACATTTATCAGAAAATGAAAATATTTAACACTCACTTATATTGGAATACATAAATATCAAACATATATTATTTGGGAACTCTTATATTTGACTGTTTATTGTTCATCTAAAATTCAAGTGTATCTGGGAAACCTGCATTTCATTTCACAACGCTGCATTTTGCAAATGATTAAAGTCTATTAAAGCAACCATGTAATGAATCTGTCTATAATACAGATTGTTACTCTGCAGGTTGACATTTGCCTCATTAAAACAGAAAAATTTTGTAGAGAGATAGAAGGTATTACATAATCTTAAAATGTTGTAAAAAGACAAGAGACAGAATGCTTTTTCTCAGATACTATTTTCCTTTTTCCTTGTCATAAATCTGTATTTCTATAAAAGCTTACAATCTCACTTGTTATTTAAAAGATAAAAATATAACATGTTTTGTTTTGTTTTTTATCTTAGAGAAAAAAGAATGAAAACATACTAACAAATATAGAGACATCAACAAAACAACACAAAAACAATAAAAGCAATACAGAATTTCAGACAAGGTGATAAGAAGTTAATAATTGTTGCTGTATTACATGTTTTCATCTTCAAATTGGTTACTCAGTTAAACATATTTGGAATGAGTATATCTGAGTATCGTTACCTTGAGATCAGACTTGGGGACTGTGACAAATTTGGCTCTTTACCCATGCACAGTAGATGTGAGAGTTGATGGATGGCAAGGGAGCAGGTGAAAACTCTAACTTCATGTATCAATTCTATTCATTTTTCCTAGTGACATAATGAATTCTAGGAAAGTTCTAATGCCAAGATTAGAAAATAAATAAAGTGGAGAAAGTGTAATGTGGTACAAAAAGATCTGTAAAGCCATGTGCAACCTGAAGAAATAAATCACAAATCTTGACCCTAATAATATGTGTCTAGTGGAATAGATTAGCAAATGAGTTGTCACCCATGAAATCCAATATCTAACAGACTACTGGAGACTTTCCATATGTAAATTATATTTACCCTCATTTGCATGTTATTTGTATATTTGGAGATGAATATTAATGACACTTTGAACTATTGGGGTGAAAAATCTACAGTGTATCTCATTTTATTTCAATATTATATGGATAAATATGTTTTCCTTTATTTCCTCTCTCTTGCCATAGCCCTTCTACCTCCCCTTTCTCTTTTCTCAGACTTTCATGAAACACAGTCCTTCAAAACAGAGATTACAATTGCTGCCCCTAAACTTTGGTCATTTAAGTGACCCAAATTTCACTGCACAGCAGTGGAATCAATCTACTCAGAATACATTTATGTCTGCAAGCTGCACAATGCCATCCTTGAAGCAAGAGGAACATTTCTGTACACCTAGTAGGCATTTTAAAACACTGTAGTGTTCAAAACTTGTTGATTACCATGAGGAAATTTTGAAAGCCTATGTCCCACATGAAAAAAAGTATTTACCTACAATACCATCTCAGAAATACTTAAATGGATTCTGAACATGATGATTTGCTGTGACCCAGCCCTATGGAAAAGCAAAACGTTTACATAGTTTTTAGATTGACACTTAAAGGAACTAGATATTTTTGTGTTTCCCTGACCTTCTGTTTCCTACAAGTCAGGAGGCTACAGAACATTTCACAGAGCTTTGCTGTGGATCAAATGAACAGTCATCATTATTAATTTTTGCAGTAGTGGAGGATTGAACTGAAGGCCTTTGTAATAAACTAGATTCCCCCCTCTTTTAAATTCTTCTAAATTTTGAGAAAGGGTCCAGTCTGGGCTTGAATGAAATCATCCTCCTCCTGCCTCAGAGTGCCTGTGTTACACATATGGATCACCATTCCTGACTAACACTTTGTACATATATCGTGAATTCAATCTTCTCGAACTGGAACTTTAACACCTCTAATTTTTAACATCTTTAAAAATTTTAGCATTTATTTATCATAAGGCCTATTTTTTTCCTATGAAAATTTATAAAAGTAAATCTTTTCTGAGAGTTTATTCCTTCAGCATTTATTTATTATTATGTTAACTGCCTCATATCAGTTCATCTTTCTTAAATAAGAGTAGGATCATCACTTTTTTCAATTTATAAATGAATAAAGTGATGCTTAAGGAACTAAGAAACTTTCACAAAATCATAGACATTATTTGCAAAGTCACAACTTTCCAGAAACCAAATGCTAAGTCAATACACATTCTTGGTACTTTGTATCTTAAACATCATACAGTGAATTCACGAAATAATTAAGAAAATTTAGCATACAAAATATCACAGAATCAGTTAACTATATAAGAGAAAAAGTATAAGATTTTAAATATTTTTTTCAGCATAATAAATATGTATAGAAAGAATGTGTGGGTATAAGTTCAAATATTTTGAAGAGCATTAGAAATAATATTGACATTAAAAAATATTATTAATATTCTAGTAATAATGGGATTCACCTTTGTATTTCCATACATGAGTACATCATGCATTGATGATATCTTGCTATCTTTCTTCTTTTATCACAGAAACTTTCACTCTGATAGTACTCCATTTGTCTTTTTTTGCTTTTATTTTCTGTGGTTTTACTTCTTAGCCAGAAAAATCACTGCCTGTACCAAGTATTCCCTCCATGCCCTCCTCCAGAAGTTTCAGCCATTAAGGTCTTATACACCAGGATCATTGATCTATTTTGATTTGATTTTTGTACAGGTCCACAGATAAGGGTCAAGTTTCAGTCTTCTGTTGTGAATATCCAGTGTACCCAGCGCCATTTGTTAAGTGTTTGTTCTTTCTCCAATCTATGCTTTTGGGAACTTTGTTGAGAATCAGGTGGCTGTATAAATTGCATTTATTTCTGGGTCTGATACTATATGAAATTGTTCTGTGCATTTGTTTTTATACCAGTACCATTTTAGTTTTCTTACTGTGTCTCTGTCATATGTCTTAAAATCAGGTATTGTGTCACCTTCAGCTTTGGACTTCCCTTTCAGAATTTCATTGATAGTCCTGGGTCATTAATATTTCTGTATAAATTATAGGAACTTTTTTAGCTTTAGTATTTTGATAGGGATTATACCGAATATATAGATTGCTTTGGGCAATCCAGGAACCTTAAGAGACCTTTTCATCTTTTAAGACCTTATTTTAGTTTTATATTTTTATGATAGTAGTTTTTTGTTTGTTTGCTTTTGTTTTTGTTTTTTTACTTTCTTCAGCTTAGTTTATTCCTAGGCATCTCTGTGACTATTATGGATGAGATTCTTTTCATATTTTCCTTCTCAGGAAATGCAATATTGATGAATACAAAATGCACTGAATTTGCATGTTGATTTTGTATTCTGAAATTTTACAG